CCCTTCCTTTTTTTTCTCTGCTGCTCCACCGGGTTAGAAGCAAATCTCAGGGGCTGCGGAGAGAATTTGGTTTTTTTGCCATCGTCATCATCGCTATTATTATTATTTTTTAATCTTCCTCCTTTTCCCATTTTGGATCTTAACCCTTTGATCTGTTTCCTTTAAAAGACTGATTCCCAACTCCCATCAGAGGGAGAGGGAGGAGAAATACAGGGGAGGAAAAAAAAAAGCCGAGCAAGTCCGTGCTCTCAGCTGTTAGCCAGGTTGTTGGGGGACAAAAGTCCCTTTAAAATATTGAATGTCAGTTGCAAACCTAAGAAAAGAAAAATCCGATCTGGAGCGCTAAATTTAGGAGCTTTATATGGAACTTGGACTCTGCTGCTGGATTTTGTATGGATTTTTTTCACCCTTTGGTAAGTTTCGATTCACCTTCTGGGGTAAAAAGAAACAAATGGCTTTTAGGGGTGGTTAAGACTTTGGGCTGGAAATCCTACAATATCATGTTGGGGTGTTTAAACCGTTTGTGTTGCTTTTTTAATGAAGCGACAGGGACGTCACGTTTTCTCGCCGGAGATTCCTAGAGTGCTGCTCTGTGGTTTATTTTATCCCCGATTTTAAAATCTGCTGTGGTTTATTATTTATCGCGTGTGCTGTGGGGAGGGTGGGAGCCCAGCCGTTCATCCCCAGGCTTCCCGTTACAGGGAGGACAGACCCCGGCGTCCGTCCCTAGACCACACTGAGCGACCAAAGCGGGTGGGGGGAAACGTTGCCAGAGGCTGCCGGCAGAGATGGCCGAGAATTGGAAGAACTGCTTCGAAGAGGAGCTCATCTGCCCCATTTGCCTGCACGTCTTCGTGGAGCCGGTCCAGCTGCCCTGCAAGCACAACTTCTGCCGGGGCTGCATCGGGGAGGCGTGGGCCAAGGAGTCGGGCTTGGTGCGGTGCCCGGAGTGCAACCAGGCCTACAACCAGAAGCCCAACCTGGAGAAGAACCTGAAGCTCACCAACATCGTGGAGAAGTTCAACTCCCTCAACCTGGAGAAGCCCCCCTCTGTCTTGCACTGCGTCTTTTGCCGCCGGGGC